TATACATATATATGTATATATGTATGTATATGTATGTATGTATCTATGTATATATATGTATGTATGTATGTATGTATATATATGTATGTATGTATGTATCTATATGTATATGTATATGTATGTATGTATGTATCTATGTATTTATGTGTGTATATGTATATATTTATATGTATGCATATATATGTATGTATGTATGCATATACATATATATATATATATGCATATATATATATGTATGCATATACATATATATATATATGCATATATATATGTATACATATACATATATGCATATATGCATTTATATATATATGTATACATATACATATATGTATATATGCATATATATATATGTATACATATATGTATATATATATATATATATCAGTAAATTAAATGTGCTAAAAAATATTAAATTGTCTAAATATAAATAATCTTATTTATAAAAATCATTTCAATTATATTTAAAAGCACTCTAAATTACATGAAAATTTTTTTATACTTTAGTTAAATAAGCTCAAAAATTTTAATCTCTTATAAAATTAGGAAAATCTCAAGGAGATAGTGGGCAATATGTCTCTTTAAATCTTGAAAGTGAATTCCTTTCTTATGTTTCATTTAATGTTTTAAAGCAGACTTTCTTTCCTCGGCACCAATTAGGAAGTGTAACACAAGAGACTCAATGTACTCCATGATAGAGACAGTCGGGCTAAGAGCTTGAGTGACCCAAGACGATAATAGAGGTGTTGGGGACCTTTGGTTCAATCCCCAACATGTCTTTCTTTTCCGCCGACTGAGACCACTTCCATGTAAGAGCGCAAGTCAACCTTAAAAACCTTTTCAAAATAAATAGCTTATTTTTCATACTAAGCCTATTTTCATAACTAAAGGTTTTAAGAGTTCCTTTAAAGAAAAATTTACAGAAACTATTTTAAAGTAAATCTCAATTATAAATTGAAAAATATATTTTTCTTTATAACATTGGGATTTCTGTTAAAGGAAATTTTCTTTAAGAACATCTTTCTTAATAGATGTTCTCTTTAAGAGATTGAAAGATCAATTAATTTCTTTTGAAAAAAAAATATTTTCAAAACCCTTGAACATTGTGGATTAAAAGTAAAAATATATAAGCTTGTCAAGTATTTTCTTGCTTATGTAGTCTGGGAAAGAATTATATATTCACTATCATAAGTGACTAATTGAATGAGTATTTTTATCTTCAGAAATGTATGATTTCGTAGCCTTAGACTATTTGAGTATATGATTCTTTGGTTATCTTAATTTAAATAATTCATTTAAAAGAGAAATTTGTATCCCAAGTAATTTTTGAATGATAAAACTATTTTTCAAAAAATCTAAATTTTGCATGAAAGGAAAATTTTTATTTTCGTAATTGGAATAGAAATAAGTTTTTATTATGAACTTTAAATTAAAACATTTCATATTTTTTGTTCTCAATATACTATCTCGACCACAATCAAAATCTAAAGGAGGACAAAACATAATGATAGTGACAAAATAAAAATTGATGATGGAAAAACAAATTCTAATACACGTGTTGGCCAAAAATTCACTTAGAATGGATAATAACCAAACAACACTTAGAAAAACCTGATTTGTTACAATAACGGACAATTTTAGGATAAAACAAGTCACCTAATAATTATTAAACCCCTAAAAACCTAAAACTGATCAAATTTAACTTTTATAATCACACCGTAAGATAGGTCCAAGCTATGACCCTAGGATTTTGAACGTGATTGAAACCTAGGACCACTCAAACCCTAGATTAGTCCAGTTTGTAAGCCCTCGGTTAGTTTACTCAGTACCAAATATATAGAATTAATGACTAGGACCTATAATAAAATTTATCTACCCATAAAGACTATCAAGTATAATTGAAAGAAGTGGTCCATTCTATGAACGAAGAAACTCCAAACCACTTTATAAAGAGAAGAAGTGCCTTAAGTCATTATTATGGTGATAAGGAGAACTTTTGTTATTCTACTAGTTAGTAGTTTGAAGCTATCAATGTACCCAGGATGATGGATAGCCTTGGGCATCTTGGTCGGATGCATTGCTCCCATATTTAGGTAAGTTTACCTACAACCTCCTATTTAAACACATTTATTTTAGGGCTTTACCTCCATCTTGGAATTTATTACCCATTTATATCCTTAGAACAAGATTATCATAAATCCAATCTTAGCAAACTTAAACTAATCTAATCAAACTCAATCAAATCCAATCAAACTAAACATAACCTAATTCTATCAAATTTATCTCAATCTTACTAGTCAACCTCAATTTATCTCTTCCTAATTAAAATTCCAAATCTAATCAAATCCATTTGAATCCAAACGTTACCGTAATTTCATTCAAATTTAAGTTCCAACTCATATACAAATTGTTTCTCAAACTTGACCCTTTGATTTACGCTTTGCACTGTCATTTTAACTGACAAATATTGGGCTCAACCCTAAGGGTTAAAATCTTTTAATTTCAAGTGAATTTAACCAATGCCCAAACTTATCCCTTTTATCAAAATCTTTAAACTCCATTATTCTTTAAACATTCATTAATGACCAAGAGAGATATACAACATAACTTTACTCGAGTGTTTTTCTAGGAGTAATTCTTGAGATGTTATTAACTATGAGGGATCCCCCTCACAGCGGTACTAGACCTCATAATAAAAAAAAATTAGCTTACACCCATAAGGTAAGGAAAGATTTCGGTTCTACAAATTCATAAGTGCCAAAAAAATTTCCTCATTTGAATGACCAGATTCATTCTAAGGTAATATTTCTATCTTTCAAGATAATATATTATTCTTCAAATGTCGAATCCAATTATTTAAATAGAAATCTTTTGTGGTCTATGGCGGCCCCCATCAACAAAAAAAAGTCCCACTAATCTATATATATATGTATGTATGCATATGGTCCCTTGACAACTCCTATAAGCATAAATCCATAAATCTCAAAAAATTTTCTCATCCAAATGATTATAGTCCCTTCACAACTTATATAAACATAAATAATTATAGTTTTGATCATCAGAGTTATAAAGTTGGCACTCCCAAATGACTGTGATTTAAATAGCATGGCAAGTAGTGTTATCAATAACTCAATCATATTTTGATATATTAAGGGCTATTTATACACGTTAAAGTCTTACACCTGTCCCTTGAAGAATAAATGTTTTTCCGACTTAATTAGCTAAAGCTTGTATATTTGGCATAATTTTCTTGCTCGACTTTTTAGATCATTGAATGTAAAAGAGAAAACTAAAACTTAAGAGAAAAAAAAAATCTGTGTACTTCAATTGGAAGATTGATTTTTGTTTGTTCATACAATAAGATAAAATTTTACACCAATCATTCTAACCATTTTATCTGATACAAACCTCAGCACATAACAATATGTTCACCTTCATTAGTATGATGGGTATCATATCACAAATTAAGCAAAATATCAACCCAAATAAATGCTGGGTGATAATTAACGATCATAAACCACAACTTGATGTTACCCGACATCTCATTTGATTATTGAAGCTCTAAAACCATAACTTAATCTTTTTGTGGAAAGCTTTCCTGTTCTGTTTCCTCAATATGGATCGAAGTAGGTTCAAGTATCAATGATTTAGATTGACCCTCGACATTATTCATTTTACTTACAGGTAGTTTGGGTTCCTCAATACTTTTTACACGCTCCAACCCAACCGCAAAATCCTTGCTTTTGCCCCATAAAATGAAGTACATGCCAGCCACCAAGATACTTGCACCTATAATCCTGTGTCAAATAAAAAAAATAATTTTCAAGGCTCATTAGATATTATAAAGAAAATATTATGTGTGATCATTTGCACATGTGGATTAGGACGTATACTCCGAATACACCTTATTCGCATATACTGACCATCTACACATTAATTTTTCACCACCCTGAACTTGTTGAGCATGGGGCTATGTGCCAAGCTCTCACCACCACACTATTAATAATTTCCTTTAGTTCTGGTGGGGCAGGGCAGGAGATCAATTTCGATAAATTGAAGCATGGGCTTACGTTCCAAGGACAATCTTTTCTGCTAGGAAGGTGGAGCTCAAGACATTAGTCATGATCATTGTAAGAGGGTTGAAGGCACTTGCAAAAACTGGACCCTTTTCCTTCGTCACCACCCCAAGCATGAAGTACCAAAACGCATTGCCTACCAAACCCTGTAATTCAAATTGATGAGTTATCAAGCTTCTACTTATCATCTTTAGATTTACGATGTAAAAATTTGCATACCGAATAGATCACAGCAAAAAGCCTCAAATCCCACCCTAAAATCCATGGCCGAAAACTTCCATGCGTCACCACAAGAGCAATCACACCGTTTATTACCGCACCAAATGAACAAACCATTGCTGTGAGGCTTAGTTGTGCAGGGTATGATTTCAATGTGTTTGCCTGTCATTAGAAAAACAGATATAATTTTATTTAAAATTATACAATAAATTAATTGCAAATATAAATAATTCTTATTAATTTGTCAACCAATTGATGGTATTTGGCAATTACTTGGAGGATGATGAAGGAGGACCAGCTGAGACAACTAATAAAAATTATCAATGTGCCCTTAATCCATCTAGTGCTGTTCCCTGCTTCATCATTTGCCGTAGCTACCTCGCTATGGTTCTCTCTTCCTTCTGTCCAGAAAAATTCCACAATAGGTCCTTTGTACAAAATCATTACAATTGCACCAATTACACCCAAGATGGCGCCAATGACCTTGACGAGGCCCTGCTTCCTTCTAATGTTTAATTTTTCCATCCTAATTTATTAACAAAATTGTATTGTGAAGTTAACTTTAGCAAGGTTAAAAACTTAGATAAAGTAACTTTGGGAGTTTCAATTCAAGAATTACCTTAGAAGAAGGCATATGACAAAAGTAATGGCAGGATTAATGTTTTCAAGAGCAGAAGCAAAGCCTGCTGAGGTCAGCTTAGCTCCCAATAAGTAGCAGTTTTGATCCAGAACAGGCCTATTAAAATAGGGGAATTAGCGCATTAGTTAAATTTGTATGACCCTTGCAATATGATTGTTGTTTTATTAGTGAGGAATGATCATAACTGAAGTATTCCTAGAGCTGCGACCTTGACGAAGATGATGAGTGTCATCTTAGGTCTCCCATTCCTACACCAGAATACGAAAAACGTTAAAATAAAATATATTGTACAATTATTCCATCATAATGTATAATCATTAGAGAAATTCATAATGTATAATAATTAGAGAAACAGATGTTCGAGATTGCTCAGCATGATGTCGAATAAAGCGGAAGAAAAAATTCATACAAAATAATCAGCAAAAGTATTATTATACACACTACATATTGATCAGAATATGCTTCGAAACTCCTAATTACGATTCTAGTTGACCATAATATATAAAAAATATTATCTCAACAACGATTTTAAAATATTAAAATTTAAAAATTCCTAGGAAGGCAACTCCAGCATTTATTTTCCTATACTCTCTCTATAATTCTTACCTCTCAAACCAGAGTGCAAATGGCGCAATGAAAGTAGTAGCAACAAGGCTACGATACGCGAACATTACGGACTGGTTCATGCCTTCCTTAAGAGTCGCCATTAAAATAACGTACATTACAGCAATACTGAACTGAAGGAAAACCATGGCCGCATATGGCTTCATTTTCTTAAGCACCAATTTGACACGGCCATTGCCTTCCTTGGACAACATTGCCATTGTAGCTTCAAACAGTGCAACAGCAATAGCTTAACTTGGCCTTCTCTTTACAAATATAGTGTACCCTCAATTTCCATCTCTTTATATACACTTTTGCAGGACTAAGCATCAGAATTTTTAACCTCAAGTCATATTACTCATGCAACGCAATGTTGCGATTTGGGTATTGCCTCGTTTTGTTTTTATTTTTTAATTGATAGATTTTTTGTATTAAGCTATTGAAAAAACCCTTCTACGAGGGTATTCTGATGTGCATGAAGATAATTGATGGAAGAACTAGTCGTCTCGATCTTTTCATATAATAAAAAGATTATGACAAACATTCCGCATAGCAACCTCATAAATATTATCAGATTGATGGCAAACATCAGACAGGCCACCAAAAGAATTACTACTAAATAAATAATGATTTATAATATCCAAATCTGAAACAAAGCCACCGCATCAATGAAACAAATCCATCAGGACAACATAATAAATGAAACAAAACCACCGCATCAAGTAGACATCTAATGGATCATATGAGACAAGTACCCAAGAATCATAAGTTAATATTGAAATAAAAAAAATTGAAATTAAATTCAGAATGTTCTCTGTGATTTTATCAGATATATAATTTAATTGAATACTTCGAGGAGGAGTGAACCGAAGAACAGTATGTGGTGTCATCTGATTGGCTAGTTTATTCTAAATGCTCGTATTATAGTAATAAACTCTAAGCTGGCACTAATTGCAGAGCAGAATGATATTCAAATTATATATTCTTATATTCAAAATGAAAGTTTCTACGTGAACAATAAAATCATTACACGTCCTTTGATGGAGTACTTTAAAGTTTAGATAAATGCTACCAAAACACTACTATAATAAATAATTAGTAGTCCTTACCCTTCAAACGAAAGGAAGCTCGAAACTAGCCTTGAAATGAGAAAAAACTTGAAGCTTTGAAAAATTAGAGTTCGTCCTGACGATGAATATTGCTGATCACCACTGTCACTGCCTCACTGAATTTCTATTTCTTAAATATCAGCTCTCGACTACTTTCACGCTGAAAGAATGAGAGAAATTAGTGCCGCACGAATCGAATGCTAAGATGGGTATAATCTGTCACTAAATTTGATTTGCGCGGATTTGTGTCGGAATCGAGATTCACACTAAACCGTGGTCGGTAATACAATTCGAGTCGAATATGTCTAATACAAACAGCTTGTGCCATCCTTAGTATCCTCCGGTGTCGATGCAGTCTACCTGACACTACATATAACAATAGAATTGACGTAAAAATGCGGCGAGCACAAATTATCATCCTTATTTACTTCAACTTTTTCTTTGGGAGATGTTATTTAGTGTAGGAATATATCGAACAGTGGCAAAGAAAATCGTAGTTATTATCGTTGGAACTTTTGAGGCAAACCTTCAACAATTTTAAAAAATATATAGATAAAACAAACATCACAACCTGCACATAACAAATCTATATCACAAAAAAGTATCTTCAAAACTAAGAATCTATATCATTAACAAGTACCGACAAAGAAAACTAACATAATTTAATAAATATTAAACTCAATACATGAAATTTATATCTAAACACAAAATAAATGTTCACATCATCACAAGAATAAAATTACACAAGCCCCTATGGTCGGGGAACATCATTAAGGTCATAATAGTCTGCCTTCTCTCCCCCTCCACCTCCTCCGCCACAAAATTATTAGCCACTTTGTATGACGATCTAAAATACTCTTCGTCAGTCGTATTAGAGTCACGTCAACTCTTTGTTGGTTTTCACGCATCTGAATGATTTTTCATTCCACCTAGGAGTTCTACATGCTGCAATAGGAATTACCACAAGCCACACACAGGAACACGTGTGTGCTCAGCCTCAAGTGCTACGGTCTTTAAGCCCATCTTGTAGGCCCCACCTTCTTCTTCCCTGTTGGCTTCCTCCATATCTTAAAATTAGATTACACGGTGGTAGACTGACTACCATTTCTATCAACGGTTGTCCGAACTTGTTCTCCAACTTCCTCCTTCTCTCTTAAATTAGCTTTTATTCCTTCTATAAAATTAAAACAAATGAATAACTGTGACTTTTAACATTAATAGTCACAAAAATATAGAAATTTAAATTTTACTTACACTGACACATCGAAAGAGTTCAACCACCCACTATTGCATTCCTGAGTGCTGATGTGCCCGAAAATGTTGCTCGGTAGCGATGGGTAGCTAGCAAGCTCATGAATATGTGTACAATAGAAAATGTTAAGTACCACAAAATTACATTTACCTTTAATTGTTGAATATTTATAGGATCTTACTAGCCTCTGGTAGTGCTCTATGTGGAGGACCAAATCTGTAATGTGGAGTTTGGCGCAACTAGCCCCCTTCATCCTCCTATTATGCTTATTCATCAAATAATTTGGAGAGTGCCACGCTCTAGTCAATTGAGCCCAGACCTCCTCCCCATCCAAGATGGCTTGTTCCCCCTTATTTTGGGATGTGGTGAACATATTACTTATCTAGCGACTACCACGAACCTCAAATATATGATAGGCCTCCTAATAATACTTGATAGCCAGTAGAAAAACCTCTACAAGTTATAAATTTAAAAATGTTCGACAGTATGACAAAATAATTTAAAATAAATATTCTATTTCATAAAAAATAATCTTATCTCAAACTTCTAGAATCACATGTCCCAAGTTGCAATTGGGATCTATTTCCAGAAGAGATTTGATGTATCATATCTACTCCTGATGACCTCTGTCATGCATGCGATGGGTGGCCTAGGAGGAAAGAACCTGAAATAGAAATATTAGTTATGGAAAATATTGAGATGAGCATTGAAATTATTCTCATCTAAAAGTTAACTTACGGGTCTCCCTTTATAATAACTTACGACCTCGGATCATTGGAGGAGGGAGCTTGTGGGTGAGTGGAAGCTTGTGCATGTATGGGAGCTGGTACTTGAGTGAGAGCTAGTGCGAAAGATATTGTAGTGGGAGTGGTGGTTCCGCAAGGTGATGCAACGGGAGGGGATGGTGGTCGAAAAGAGTTTTAGGACTGATCAGAGCAGTAATTGAATGTACCAAAAGGGTCATAGTTGTGACGGTGCTACTACTCAACACAAAACTAGTGTTGTGCGTATCATAGTGAGCCACAAGCATCTCTTCTCCTTGTAAATACTCCCTATAGAACCATAAGGAAGAAGTCGCTAAAGTGGCTAACCACCAGTATCAGCTAATGTCACATGTACTTGAAAAACTACATTAATAAAATTTGTATTAACATCAAAAGTAAGCATAAGAAGTATAATATAAGTAGCACAAGTAACTGCAGGGAGATGCATAATTAAAATAAGAAATATATCGTAACTATATGTAAAAATAAAAAAAAATAAATAGAAGTATAATATAAGTAATAAAAGTAATAGAAGAAACGTGTATAATTAAAACATGAAACATGTCATAACTATGTGTAAAATTCGCAAAAGCTAAAACAAAAAAAGGAAGTAATCTTTTGAACATACGTGCCATATTTAGTATGTTTCAATGAGCGAGTCAGTCGATGATGAAATTAAAATTTTGTTATAAGTATGAATATCATTGTCATCCATATTTGAAAATCCTCTTCATAAGTCTCCGAGATATCCTCTGGGGTAAACACCTCTTTGATGGAATCAAGTTGAATACAAAATTCAGACATACCTTGATTTTGGTGAACGGGTTCAAGAATAGTCTTTATCTCAATATTTTTCCTTGGTTTATACTTCATAAGGATGGCCCAATCATGTTTACCCCTTTCTCTTCTAAAGTATCAAGAGCAATAAACTTGACTAGCTTGACTTGCTAAAATAAAATGTATCAAATTTTGCATGTCTTCTGTTTATGTTGACATCGACAATAACATACAGCCTTACTATTCGTGTTCCTTAATTAAAAATAGGATCAAACATTAACAGTTGAACATATATACATTGCACGCCATATAACCCATATATTGCAATTGCATTACTTCTTCAAGTATGCCATAATAACTCATCTTATTATCCAAGTGTGTGTTTTCTTGAAGGAATTTTTAAATAAATATGAAAGAAAATTAGTTTAAATAAAACGTAAGACATCCAGAGATATTGAGAATATATACCTCTCAAAGAGATGCATCCATTTGTACTACATTGAACCCCCTAGTATAATCCCATACCATAGATGTACTGGTAGTTGCTCCACTCAATGAAACCAAAAGGAACTTCTGCTCTAAAATTCATAATATTATATAAATACTGACATCAATCTTTTAGAAAAAATCAACTTTCAGGGTCTCTCCACACAATTCATTGATGAGTGCACTAATTTTGATTAGTGGATTAAGTTTCAATGCAAAACACTGAATGAAATTGTAATAAAGACAGAAATAGAATGTGGCGATCTTGGCATTTCATGTTGAATATCTTCTATGTTTCCAAGTAAAAAAAACAACCTAAGTTTTGACACATAGCCACTAGGAAACTTTAGAGAATGCATCCATTCAATTATTATTCTTTTGTTGATCTAATGTGAGACAGTATGCTGATTTGGGCTTTATTACATTAGCAGTGTTTCTCTCTTAAAGTTCTAACCCCCTCCACTTATAATACTCTTTCAAGTCTAATTAATCTTTGACATTATCTTTGGTTTTATTGTTAATATCCATCTCCTTATTGGAGATTTTATCAAAATATTTCTTCTTAATATTCATAAAAATGAGATTATGTCAAATCAAATTATTCCTTTAGTACAAAAATCTCAAAAATTTCTCCACTTTGCTTAATTATGTCTAACACTGAAATTAGAAAGTCAGCTTGATGCTAGATCTGATCTCTCAATGATTTTTGGTACATCAGTAGTCATCTATCATAAATCAACCTTGATTATCATTAAAAAAGGAGTTGATTTTAAACTCTAATTTTTAAAAATGCATCTCTACCTTTTGAATGGGTGGACGCATGCTAGAAACCT